AGGTCTTTCTAATAATTAACAACAAAGAAAGCCAGTCTCTTCCAAGGGTCCTGAACCCTTGCTGCTTTAACTTCACATGAAAATAGGAAGCCTGGTGTGTATTTTGGTAGAGGCTTTAGTTCACTCAACTACTCAACACCTTGCTATCAGTGCTAAGCTTCGAGTCACTGAATAAAACAAGAGATCCTTGTCAGCATTGAGCTCACAGTCTAATGAGGTGTGCTGACAGCTCTAATGCGTTGTGAAAATACTGTAAGGGGTGCGGCACCTGTGGCTCAAAGAAGTAGGGCACAGGTCCCATATGCCGGAGGTGGCGGGTTCAAACCCAGCCCTGGCCAAAAAAAAAAAAAAGAAAGAAAAAATACTGTAAGGGCCAATCAAGAGACCATATGAGAATCAAGAAGGAGGGTGGGGATGATGGCTCATGCCTATAATCCTAGCACTCTGGGAGGCCAAGGAGAGAGGATCACTAGAGGCCAAGAGTTTGAGGGCAAGAGTGAGACCTCATCTCTCTAAAAAATTTAAAAAACTAGCTGGGCAAAGTGGCTCCCACCTGTAGTCCCAGCTACTTGGGAAGCTAAGGCAGGAGGGCCGTTTGAGCCCAGGAGTTTGAAGTTGCAATGAACTTTGATGATGCCACCACACTCTAGCCTGGGTGACAGAGCAAAACCCTGTCTAACAAAATAAATAAATGAAATAACCAAGAAGGAAGCCCCTACACTAAAGGGGGGCGAGGAGAGGAATAAGGAGTGGAGGAGGGCGGGGAAGGGTCAAAGGAGGCTTGTCACGTAAAAGGTGAGTTGACTCAGTGAGCTCTAAGGGATGTCTAATCATCAACCAGGCGCCTAATCAGGAGTGGGAAATGGAATGTTCTGGAAAAAGGGATGGCTTGTGCAAATGTTAGGATTTAGGGAAAGCGGGACACCCTCGAAGAGCTGTGGGGAATTCATCAAGGCTCGAGCTCAGAGATTAGGACGGTGTGTCAAGAAAGCAGGCCGCAAAGATATGCGGGCCAGATCTCTTTCTTCTGGGTTTTATAGTTTAGTAAATACATCCATTCAGGACCTTTTCCACTTTCTGGTAGTTTCTCTCAAGATGAGGGTGAAAATCTAAAACATATGTAATCCCAGAGAGAAAACATGTTCACTAATGGAAGGATTGCTGGAATCTGCCCAGGTGTGTTTATGAAATGTTAACACTGCAGCCTGAGCAAGAACAAGACCCTTCTCTACTAAAAAAATAGAAAAAGCTGGGCACAGTGGCTCACGCCTGTAATCCCAACACTCTGAGAGGCTGAGGCGAGTGGATTGCCTGGCTCAGGAGTTAGAGACCAGCCCCAGCCAGAGCGAGACCCCGTCTCTACTAAAAATTGAAAAAAACTAGCTGGGCCGGCTCGGCGCCTGTGGCTCAAGTGGCTAAGGCGCCAGCCACATACACCTAAGGTGGTGGGTTCGAATCCCCAGCCCGGGCCCACCAAACAACAATGATGGCTGCAACCAAAAAATGGCTGGGCGTTGTGGCGGGCGCCTGTAGTCCCAGCTACTTGGGAGGCTGAGGCAGGAGACTCGCTTGAGCCCAGAAGTTGGAGGTTGCTGTGAGCTGTGATGCCACAGCACTCTACCCAGGGGAATAGCTTGAGGCTCCGTCTAAAAAAAAAAAAAAGACTAGCTGGGCCTTGTGGCAGGCACCTATAGTCCCAGCTTCTTAGGAGGCTGAGGCAAGAGGCTCAGTTGAGCCAAAGAGTTTGAGGTTGCTGTGAGCTAGGATGCTACGGCACTCTACCCAAGGCAGCAAAGTGAGACTGTCTCAAAAAAAAAAAAATCAGTCAAAATAAATAAAGTGAATTTTAAAACTAGAAAAACTAGCTGGGCATGGTGGCAGGCACCTGTAGTCCCAGCTGCTCAAGGGGCTGAGGCAGAAGGATCACCTGAGCCCAGGGGGTTGAAGTTTCTGTGAGCTAAGGCGCCACAGCACTCTAGCCTGGGGCAACACACACTGTCTCAAAAAACGAAACAGTAAAGTGTTAACATTGCTTCTTAACGTTGTCATAGGATTCCTGCCACAGCGGATAATCCCTGTGTATACAGAGTCTTTGTAATGATTTGCAGGATAAAACACCAAGAACATTCTCAGGTACTGACTTTCATGTTGAACTAACTTGAAAACATTAAAACCCAATCCAAAGGGCTGGCGTTCCCAGGCTGTACTATTTTAAGACGGGAATGGACACTAGCCCCTTGGCTACGATAGAGTTAACATCTGCCCAGCATTCCGTGAGAGGAGGAGGCTCCTCACAGATTTGGGGTGCGAGCCCAAACTGCATACTCAGGACCAGTCAGATAACACCACAGAAACGTTTGAGGCCTGTGTATGAAATGGTAAGCCGTGACCCCTGTTTACGATGCCAGCTTTTCTCCAGAATATGCTGAGGCTTCTCTCCATTGCAGTAACTTGTAGACAGCTAATCCATGTAGTGTAACACTGGAAATCCTCTGTGCTCTAGGCCTCTAGTTCTCAAGATTCCATTTCCTCCTTGCCTTTACCCTCCAGTACAGCACAATGAAACAGAGCACCTCGGCCGTACTGAGTTATGGAGGGAGGTGCCGCAGTTGCACGGGAAAAGTGGTGGGTTTGCAGCCAGAGAACTAGATTCGTGTCCGGGCCACACCACTCCCAGGCTGTGACCTCGGACAAGATGCTTAACTTCACTGAATCTCAGTTTCTTTTATTGTTGGGGATTCATTGAGGGTACAAGAAACCAGGTTACACTGATTGCATCTGTTAGGTAAAGTCCCTCTTACAATCATGTCTTGCCCCCAAAAGGTGTGACACACACCACGACCCCGCCCCCTCCCTCCTTCCCTCTCTCTGCTCTTCCTTTCTCCACCCCTCCCTCCTTCTTTTCGTCTCTTTTCTTCCCTCCCCCACCCCCCACTGTGTCATTAATTGTCATTAATTGTCCTCATATCAAAATTGAGTACACAGGATTCAAGCTTCTCCATTCTTATGATGCTTTACTAAGAAGAATGTGTTCCACTTCCATCCAGGTTAACACAAAGGCTGTAAAGTCTCCATCTTTTTTAATGGCTGAATAGCATTCCAAGGTGTACATATACCACAGCTTGTTAATCCATTCCTGAGTTGGGGGGCATTTAGGCTGTTTCCACATTTTGGCAATTGTAAATTGACTTGCAATAAACAGCCTAGTGCAAATGTCCTTATGAGAAAAGGATTTTTTTTCCTTCTGGGTAGATGCCCAGTAATGGGATTGCAGGATCAAATGGGAGGTCTAGCTTGAGTTCTTTGAGGGTTCTCCATACTTCCTTCCAAAAGGTTGTATTAGTTTGCAGTCCCACCAGCAGTGTAAAAGTGTCCCCTTCTCTCCACATCCACGCCAGCATCTGCAGTTTTAAGATTTTGTGATGTGGGCCCTTCTCGCTGGGGTTAGATGGTGTCTCAGGGTGGTTTTGATTTGCATTTCTCTAATAATTAGGGGTGATGACCATTTTTTCATATGTTTGTTAGCCATTCATCTGTCTTCTTTAGAGAAGTGACCCTCAGTTTCTTTATGTATGGAAGGACTAGCTTAGATCAGAAGCCTGTTGGGGTCCAGGCACAGTGGCTCACGCCTGTAATCCTACCACTCAGGGAGGCTGAGGTGAGTGGATTGCTTGAGCTCACAAGTTCAAGACCAGCCTGAGCAAAAAACAAGACCCCCATCTCTACTTAAAAAGAAATAGAAAAACTGAGGCAAGAGGATCGCTTGAGATGGAGGTTGCTGTGAGCTGTGACGCCACAGTGCTCTACCCAGAGCAACAGCTTGAAACTCTGTCTCAAAAATAAATAAATAAATAAATAAGCTAATTGGGAAAATCAAAATGCATCCTGGGCATAAGAGCTATCTGTGAAGGAGAAGCCCAACACCAGTAAAAAGTACAGTAGCACCCCCCACCCTAATCCACAGTTTCGCTTTTCTTGGTTTCAGTTAACCTGAGGTCAATCGTGGTCTAAAACTATTAAGTGGGAAAGTTTAGAAGTAACAATTCATAAGTTTGAAATTGCACGCTCTTGTGAGAACCATCGAGAAGTGTCAAGCCGTCTGACTTCACTCAGCCCAGCACGTGAACCATCCCTGTGTGCGGGGTGTCCACACTATAAACGCAAACTGTCCATTAGTCACTCGGTATCCGTCTTGGTTATCAGGAGGTGTCACCGTGCTGTCTTCAAGTAACTCTTCATAATGGCCCCACAGTGCCACAGTAGTGACACTGGCGTATTGCTATAATAGTTATACTTTATTATTAGTTATTATTGTTACTCTCTTACTATTCCTAAGTTACTTTATCAGAAGTGACATATAAGAAAAAACATCCTATAAATTGTATAGAGTTGGTTGAGCATAGTGGCTCCCACCTGTGATCATAGCACTTCGGGAGGCTAAGGAACAGGAAGATAACTTGAGGTCAGGAGCTTGAGATTAGCCTGAGCAAGAGCGAGGCCCCATCTCCACAAAAAAATTAAAAAATTAGCCAGGTGTAGTGGTAGACACCTGTGGTCATGGCGGTTCAGAAGGCTGAGGTAGAACAATTGCTTGAGCCCGGGAGTTGGGTGTTGCTGTGAGCTATGATGATGCCACTGCACTCTAGCCCTGGGGACAGACACAGAAACCTTGTTTTTAAAAAAAAGAAAAGAAAAGAAAGAAAGAGTATGGAGTTGAATGCTCTCTGAGGCTTCAGGCATCCACTAGGGGTCTTGGAAAGTATCCTTCATGGGTGAGGGAGGACTATTGCATTACTGTTTTTCCTGCAAAGGACACACACATCTTTGTTTTTCTTTTGTTTTGTTTTGCAACAGAGTCTCCCTCTTGCACCCTGGGTAGAGTGCTGTGGCATCATAGCTCACAGCAACCTCAAACTCTTGGGTTCAAGCAGTCCTCCTGCCTCAGCCCCCTGAGTAGCTGGGACTACAGGCACCTGCACCACACCCAGCTAATTTTTTTTTTTTTAATGGAACACATCACAAATTTGTGTATCATTTTGCCCAGGGGCCATGCTAATCTGTGTGTCATTCCAATTTTAGCATATGTGCTGCCCAAGCAAGCACAGCTAATTTTTTTTTTTTAGTAGAGACAGGTCTCACTCTTTCTTGGGCTGGTCTCTAACTCCTGAGCTCAGGTGATCCACCCACCTCAACCTCCCAGAGTTGTTAGTATTATAAGCGTGAGCCACTCTGCCCAGCCTCTCCCACATCTTGGAATATGCTGATCCCCTGGCCTGAAATGTTCTTATTTACCCCCACCCACCATCTTTAACCTTAGGAAGGCCTTTTCCTCTTCCTTGAATTCAGTTCTAGCGTATTCAGTAAGAATATGTTTTATATTTGCATTTCTATTATGGGGCCACTTTTATTTTATTTTATTTTATTTTGAGACAGAGCCTCAAGCTATCCCCCTGGGTAGAGTGCCATGGCATCACAGCTCACAGCAACCTCCAACTCCCGGGCTCAAGCGAGTCTCCT